CATGGATTTTGCCATTATATACTCAATAAAGAGGGTACCCACTTTGATAACACAATATTCCTAAAACCCTTTAAAATGAATTTCAGTGGAGCTTTCACATACTGCCATGATGAAATGTACTTGGCCATTATAATTGTATAGGAGCAGGAGTATCATTTTTTGAGCTCAGTGCCTCTATTTTTAGCTCACCTCAATGAAGTTGGGGGAGCTGATGTAATACCCTCGGCGTCAGCATCCCAGGTTAAGGTTAAGTTTTTTTGAGCAGGTTTCTTTTAAATACTTAAATACTCCTACATTGATTAGACATGCATGGAAAATGTTTCTAATGTGTTTCATTGTACCAGTCAAAGTTTCAGATGCTGCAATTTCAGCAAATGAATGACCAGGTTAATGTTTTGGAACAGGTTAACATTTTTGGTGCAGTCTTGGGTATAGCTCTCAATTCTGAGTAACTATAAGCCCTATGTTGACCAAACTTACATGGATGATACATCTAAGGATGCACACTATCAGGGTTGCTTTGGATGCTGAATCTGACCTACATTTTCTGGTTGAGTGAACAGGTTAAATTTTTGGTGCTGTTTTCATTTCAAAGATACTATGAGCCCTTTAATGACCAAAATTGCATGGTTGATACATCGTACGATGCATACTATCAGACTTGCTTTGGATGCTAAACATGTGAATCTGACCTACATTTTCCGGTTGAGTGAACAGGTTAAATAAAGTTTTTGGTGCAGGATTCATTTCCAAATAACTTTGAGCTCCTTAATAAACAAACTTGCATGGATGATACATCTAAGGATGCATTCTACCAGGCTGGCATCGGATGCTGAATCTGACCTACAATTTTTCTTGAATAGTGAAAAGGTAATTTTTTAACCATGTTAACCAAACTTGCACAAATGATGCATCGGGGGTAGGGTGGGGCCACCATGAAAGTTCAAATTTGTATGTAAGCATCCTTAGTTAGAATAAGATTCATTTTTGTTTAAGTCATACACCTTTTCCCTTTTAGGGGTAGGTCGGGACCACTTAATGCATTTAAGCTTTTTTTAATGCTACTTTAAACCTGATTTTTGTCTTTTTCCTAGCCACATTGTTCAGGTGAGCTGTATTGGCCCATGGGCCTCTTGTAACATTCTGCAGGTGACTGTTCCGTGACTTATGAATGTTTTGCCAGGGGGCAATTGTATCTTATTTGTGTGTATTTTGGGGGCTGCCAGAGACAGTAAAAAGTGGGGGAATTCGTTCTTTAGATTGATTTGATTACTGGTGGCCAGATAGCTTGCATTGTTTAAATGCTACCAAAGATTTAAATGTTGATCACTACAACTATAACTAGGTTAGTTTCTATATGTTGCAAAAAATCATATTTCAATACATGTATATAAAATGCTTAATATTTTCAAGACAGCTGTAGTGAGCAGGGAAAAGCCCTGATCCTTTACTATTTGACTTCTGTGTTTAGGAAATAACTCATGTATATTATATATAGTTTATTACATATATTCATATAATATTTAATATTAATTTTATATGATAATACATTTAAGGGGAACCGAGTGGACCAGGAGAAAGCTTTGTTGACGTCCTCTACGTTATATGTAGGGAATCTCTCGTACTACACCACAGAGGAACAGATCCACGAGTTGTTTGGGAAATGTGGTGACATCAAGCGAATCATCATGGGGCTGGATAAGGTGAAGAAAACGCCCTGTGGATTCTGTTTTGTGGAGTATCCTTCTGTGTTTTGATGTCTTATATGTTTATTTATAAATGACAAGTAAACTCATTTTGTAAAAGATTATCATAAAAAAAAAATCAAAGCAATTATATTTCAGTCATCTTTTCAAACCAGTGCAGAGACCACATACTGTGGTTTCATTAATTTTCGTAGGCATCAACTTTCATGGATTCTGTAAAACAGACGTTTTAGAGGATACGTAATTTCTTGGACAAAAGTATTGCCTTTACAAATAAATAACACATTTCTTAATTCAATGAACATTTAAATTAAGTTAAACAATGAAATCCTCAAAAATTTTTGCTCGACAAATATTAATGAAACCACTGTGACAGTATAACTCTCTCTGTGTTATGGTTTGTGATGATTGGGTTCAGTTTCTCAAAACGTAATAAGAATACACAGTTATTTTGATTTATGAAAAATATACCCCAAGATAAACTGAATTTTTTAGCTGATATGATTAGATTACATGACATTCACAATTTACTTTTACATGTTTTATGTCTTTCAATTTTCAAAAAAAAAAAAAAAAAAAAAACTAAAAAACTAAAAAATTGCATTACATCTGTACCAGGGGCCTATTATAATTAAAGAATTTTAAGATCTTTTTTTGAAAATTGGCAGAGAAAAATTGAATATATAAGTTAATATGGTGATAAAAAGATATAAAAAAAGAACATTTTTTATCTCTATATTGAGGTTCTTTTTTCAAAGTCAAATGATCATGAAGTCAATTAAACATGTTAAAACAAATTAAATCATGTCACTAATTTATTTGTACAATGAAAATGGACGTAGAAACAGTTAAATTCAATTCTAAAGGGATACAACCAATGAAACATCATAGTTTGAAAAAGATTCATACTTTTAATTTTTGAAATAAACTCCAGCTATATTAATGACTAATTATGGCAATTAGTTTTTCCTGAACTACCCAGATACTACACACGAGAGGATGCGGAGAATGCGATGAGGTACATCAACGGAACGAGGCTGGACGATCGGATCATTCGTACAGACTGGGACCATGGCTTTAAGGAGGGACGGCAATACGGGAGGGGGAAAAGTGGGGGACAGGTAAATATTTTAAATGTATCGGAACCCATGATTGGGTTTGTTACATACAAAATAAACAAAGCCATTTCTATTTCTATCAGCGGCAGGCCATTAAGATTTTATGTATCGATATGTTGGAGGTGTGAAAATTTGATCAAATTTAAAACCAACTTTGATAAATCTGTCTCAAATAGACGAATTGTTCTGGTATTAAAGCATTACAAGTCAAGTGACAGAACTTGTCCGTCAGATTTGAATAAAATTTTAAAAATCTTATAGTAAAGTTATTCCAGTTACAAAAAGGCTAGTAACTAATGTTATTATTTTCCTTGAAAGTAAATTGTTTTTATATTTATTATCTGATTATACCTTATGTTTTTTTTCTAAATTTCAGGTCGAGATGAATACAGAACAGATTATGATGAAGGAAGGGGAGGATATGGAAAAATAGTGGCTTCAAAGATCAACCAATCACGTGACCCCATGTGATCATGTGATCTCAACCTGTGAGGCTGTGTTTATGTGTGTTTATCAGACTGTTATGTAAGGACAAGGCTACGAGAAACAGTCACTTTCCTGATTAGGGAAAGAATCCTATTAAAAACTGCTAGTCCTACCTCAAAAAACAACAACTTCATGTTATGGATGCTCTGTGCTCTAGGTGGATCATTTATACTTTGTATTCACTTGACATATTGAAGTCATTAATATTGCAATTAATAACCTACCATCATTTTTACCAACTTTCCATTTTGCAAAGGAATGACTTTTTATGGTATTCTATTGACAGAATAAGTTATGATCATGATACATTGCTTTTTTCGTTTGTCATTATATATTTCTGTATAAAGTAATACAAGTGTAATAATAGATTCAGAGTCGGTTTTTTGTTTTTATTTAAATACTGTTTTTCTGCTGCATTATTTTGTATGCATTAAGAAAATAATTCAGAATAAATTATAGTTAAACTTGCTTAATGTATAAAATGCTTGGGAATTTTGACCTAAACTCCCTAAATCTGTAAAATTCTGTAACTTCTTTATTTTAAAATTAAAGAGAATGAGAGAATGAAATCTGTAAAATTCTGTAACTTCTTTATTTTAAAATTAAAGAGAATGAATATCACTTTGCTCTAAGTGTAAATTCTTTATAATTGTGTTTGCTCTAGCCCTAGTTTACTTTATGTTTAAAGTAGCTGCAATAATGTAGCCCTCTCCGATTATTTTTAGGTCACCTTAGGTGACTTATTGCTATCCGTTTTCGTCTGAAACCGCTGAACAAATTCCAACCAATATTGGCATATACATGTAGCATCTGATGGTGAAGGGGAACAAAAATCGTGAACTTGATGGTTTCTGCCCCCCTGGGGGGTGGGGCAAAAACCACTAAAATTAGTGCAGTCTTAAAAATCTTTTTCTTTACTCCTGGATATCAAGCAGGCAAATTGTTGAAATGATTGTAATCAGCATTGAGTCCTCTACCAAAATTGTGAAATTTATGGCCCCAGGGTCAGGGGTTCTGGTGTTAGGGCGGGGCTCTATTGATTATATAGTGAAAATGCATTAATTTATTCTTTGAAAATCTTCTTCTCTGCTCCTGGGTATTAAATAAACTAATTAAGTTTATAGTTGTGATGAGCCAGAGTGCCTCTACCAAAATTGTGAATTTTATGGCCTCAGGGTCAGGGATTATCGCGAAAGGGTGGGGCTCTATTGATTATATAGTGAAAATGCATTTATTCTTTGAAAAGTATATATTTTCTAATATGGACTTTTTATGCCAGCGTAATCAAAGAATTGGATATATATATAGTTTTTGCCCTGTCTGTCTATCGATCTGCAAAAAACTTGAACCTTGCCCATAACGTTTCAGTAGGTGGGGCCCTGGCTTTCATTTTCACATTATATTCCTTGTGACAAGACTTTTGGGGTACCAATTTTGACCTCTTGACCTTGGAGTTCGACCTACTTTTGCAAAAAATATCAAACTTTATCCTTGGCCATAGCTTTTGAACAGTTGATGCTAGGGTTTTCATTTTTCACGTGTATTTAAGACCTTTAGTTGGGTTTACATGTATTTAGTCTTGACCTTAAAAAACGACCCAATTAAAAAAAAAAAACTTTAACCTTGGTCATAACTTTTGAACAGTTAGGATGAAGGCTTTTATACTTCACAGGTGTATTTCGTGTGACAAGACCTTTCTTTAGATATCCTGACCTTTACCTTAGAGTTTGACCTACCTTTGGCTTCTATATTTCAAAAATTTATTTCTTATAACAAGGTCTTGCCTGAGTACTACTAATTTTAACCATATGACCTTGACCTTGACTCACTTTGAAATAGCTTTAATCTTTGTGATAACCATTACAAGGTTAGTACTTGGGCTTTCATTATTCAAATAAACATTTATTTATTGACACAAATCCTTTGTTTGGATATTAACAATTTTTTTTTTATATCTTGACCTTGAAGTTGCATTCGAGAAACTTCAGTTCTCGCTGTAAGTTGTCATATGGGGACATCAATGTTTTACAAACTCAGAGGAAACCCAAAATTACCTGCGTTTTACTACTTGATGGTTAATAAATAAGTCAATATACTCTATAATTTTATGAATATTTTTATAATATGATAAAATGTAATATATTCATGATTTTGTTCACTATGCAGTATACATTTATAACATTAAATTGTATTTTACATCGTATATCAAATATTACAGTACATTTGTATTTCCACTTTCCAAAATATTATATAACAGTTGCTTCTGAAAAATTATATATATTCAATTCATATTCATTAAAAACAACTCAATCCAAATTAAAGGTATCAACCTTTCTGGATATAATTGCTACAAAGCTGTCATAAATGGTAGTACAATAAAAAAATTAATTTTCATTGAACACTCGTCAATGAGAAACGTCAATAAGAAACATGTATACATTTAATTACAATAGTAATTAAGAGCTAGGCTACATTATAATCTTAATAAGGAGAGCCTCAGTTCACAAAAGTGCACCGCAACAAAATTTTCAATGGGACGTCAATAAAATAAACGAATGAGAAAAATCACATGATGATGCATAAGTAACAACAAATTCATTTTTTTAACCAACTACTTATACAATAAATTATTTTAAGATAACAACACTTGATAAAAATATTGTCGAGTAAAGGAAGAAAATCTCTCGTCATAAATGGCATCACCAGCCTTGACATGACGCAGTGCAAGTGTTCCAGAGGAGTTGATTTTCTCAGTGGTTTAATAATAACAATAATGCCAAAATAATGCTAAAATATATATAAAGTCATTGCCAATTTTTTAATTTAATCATTCAAGCTAATAGAATATTATTACGATTATGTATTTTCTATTCTCTATGGAGCTGCAGTATGACAAGGAATGTAAAGCATATTGCTAGAAACGGTTTTCCAAATTTACAACAACAGGGCATAGGCTAGTCTGTTTGAGGTGAAATATGAAATACATGTATCAATGGATTATATGGTTTATCGATACTATCTATCTTGAAAGTACTAGGAGCTCATTCTGGTCTGCATAAAATTATTTTAAGCAAAGTGGGGATTTATAGGTATTATACTCAATTTTGGCAAAATTACCTTTCCAAACAGCACAAATTACCTCAAGCAGTTTTATGGTAGCGGATGTAAATTCTTCTTAATGTGTATTATTTTTCCCCTCCAAAAACAAGAGTATGCCCCTGCACTAGCATGATTTTTTTGGAATTTTACTCAAGAATTCGTTCACTATGCAGTATACATATAATAACATATTATAATACATATATAAAATATTTTTGAATTTTCACTTTCCAGAATATTATTAAAGTTTCATTCTGAAAAAAATTATATTTCTTCATTCTGAAAAATTTATAGTCAACTCATATTCATTGAAATCAACTCAATACAAAATAAAGTTATCAACCTTTCTGGATATATATAATTACTGCAAAGCACTCATAAATGGCTGTACAATGAAAAAAAATTTCATGTATTAAAGAACTTGTCAATAAGAAACATGCATACACTTAATAACAATACTAAAAACTCGTCTATATTAACCTTACTAAGGAGGGCCTAAGGAGTTCACAAACATGTAAATTTTCTTTGGGACGTCCATAAATGATGCCAACAAATAACAACACTTGATAAAAATATTGCCAAGTAAAGTGGAAAAAAATCTCATGTCGTAAATGACATCATCAGCCTTAACATGATACTAGTATTCCATAGGAGTATAGATTTAATGGTTTAATAATTACAATAATTCCAAAGTGATTACATGTATAAAATCATTGCCAATATTTAAATTCATTCATTCAAACTAATAGATATAATTTAACAATTATTAATATTTTGAATTTAAATATAGTCTCAAAGGAGCTGCAATATGCATGCTATGACAAGGAATCTAAAGAATATCATTACAACGATAAGTGTATTCCAAATTTACAACAACAGTGCAAAGACATTGACTAGTCTGGTTGTGGTGAAACATGGAATATCAATTGCTTTTAATTTATCTTTTGAAAGTACTCGGAGCTCGTTCTGCATACATTATTTTTTGATAACAATTTAAACGTAGTGGGAATTTATAGGTACTGTTCGCACTTTCGGCAAAATTACATGTACTTCCCAAACAGCACAGACTAACCATAGCAGTTTTCGGATAGAGGATGTAAACTTTTCTTAAGGTCAGAAGACATGTTCCTTAATTATATGTTTAGTGTATCTCTTGGTGTCAGATAAAAATTACACATATTTGGCATTTTTGAATTCACGTATAACGATATCTAATTAATGGGGGTTTTGTGTTTTTTTTTATAACATTGCATAAAAACAGGTATAATGTGTCAGATGAAATGACAGTAAGGTTTTGGAATAAAAGATGTTTTTAATATTATTACGTGTACAATACGTCAAAATCATGAATAATGTGTAGTCTCTGTTAGACTGGCCTTCCTGTCTGATATGCGCGTACGATAGCGACAGGAAATACTAGTCTAAGTCTCTGTACAAAAATAACTTCCGACTAACAAAATTCCTTTTTATAAGTTTGTGGTTACAGCACACCGTCTTACTCAAGAATCATCACTATTAAGTTTTTTAAATGGCCAAACATAAATCGAGGATATCGGTCTAAACAATTTGGATATCAATCAAGTTTATTTTTTTTTATTTTAATGAGGTATGAGGAATATCCCTTTTTTTTCTTCCTTGCTGGACTAAATTCATTATTCATTTAAACAAATAATGTATAGAATATTCGCTTTACCGAGGAAATTGAAAAAAAAACCCATTAATGCTGAATTTTGAAAACTGTCTGCAAAATCAAGAAAAGGGGAAAAAAGATCTGTAGGTATTAAATGTTTTCTATAGTTTTAACTTATACAACACGAGTTGCAAACACTTCCACTATTACATCTCCTTCTTGTATTTTTTCAAGCCTTTCTCTGACAGAAAGGTGACAACTTCAATGTTACCTCTCCGGGCTGCATCATCTAATGCATTCTCTCCATAATTGTCTTTAATAAGGAGTAAATGAGGATACGTATTGACCAAGTACTTACACATCTTTAGTTTTCCGTTCTTACAGCATAGATGAAGCACAGTTTTCCCATCATTTCTTATGGTTTTGATATCTAAGCCTTTCTCCAACAGAAATTTGAACAAATCAATGTTACCTCCCCACGCTGCTGTATGTAAGGCATTTTCTCCTTTATTGTCTTTGACATCTAGTAAATGCAGATAAGTATTGACCAAGTAGTCACACATAGCTAGTTTTCCGTTCATACAGCATAGGTGAAGCGAGGTTTTCCCATCATTTCTTTTGGTTTTGATATCGAAGCCGTTCTCCAACAGAAATTTAAACAAATCAATGTTACCTCCCCACGCTGCATCATGTAAGACATTTCCTCCATTATTGTCTTTGATATGCAGTAAATGTGGATAAGTATTAACCATGTATTTACACATATCTAGTTTTCCGTGCATACAGCAAAGATGAAGCACAGTTTTCCCATCATTTCTTTTGGTTTTGACATCAAAACCTTTCTCCAACAGAAATTTGAGTAAATCAATGTTATCTCCCAAGACTGCATCATGTAAGGCATTTTCTCCAGCATTGTCTTTGACATCTAGTAAATGAGGATAAGTATTAATCAAGAACTTACACATATCAAGTTTTCCGTGCATACAGCATAGGTGAAGCACAGTTTTCCCATCATTTCTTTTGGTTTTAATATCGAAGCCGTTCTCCAACAGAAATTTGAACAAATCAATGTTACCGCCCAAGGCTGCATCATGTAAGGCAGTTTCTCCATTTTTGTCTTTGACATCCAGTAAATGAGGAAAAGTATTGACCAAGTATTTACACATATCACGTTTTCCGTGCATACAGCAAAGATGAAGCACAGTTTTTCCATCATTTCTTTTGGAATTGATACTGAGGCCTTTCTCCAACAGACATGTGAGTAAATTAATGTTACCTCCCCATGCTGCATCATATAAGGCATTTCTTGCAGTAGTGTCTTTGATATGCAGTAAATGAGGATAAGTGTGTACTATGTACTTGCATATATCTAGTGTTTTGTTCGTACAACACTGGTGAAGTATCGTTTTCCCATCAGTTCTTTTGGTTCCGATATCAAAGCTCTCCAACAGAAACATGAATAAATCAATGTTACCTCCCCACGCTGCAGTATGTAAGGCATTTTCTCCATTTTCGTCTTTGACATCTAGTAAATGAGGATAAGTAATGACCAAGAACTTACACATATCTAGTTTTCCGTTCATACAGCATAGGTGAAGCAAGTTTTTCCCATCATTTCTTTTGGTTTTGATATCGAAGCCTTTTTCCAACAGAAATTTGAGTAAATCAATGTTACCGCCCCATGCTGCATCATGTAAGGCATTTCCTCCAGTAGTGTCTTTAACATAAAGTAAATGATGACAAGTGTTTACTATGTACTTGCATATATCAAGTTTTCCGTACATACAGCAAAGATGAAGCACAGTTTTCTCATCATTTCTTTTTGTTTCGATATCAAAGCCTTTCTCCAGCAGAAAATAAAACAAATCAATGTTACCTCCCCACGCTGCATCATGTAAGGCATTTTCTCCAATATCGTCTTTGATATACAGTAAATGAGGATAAGTTTTGACCAAGTATTTACACATATCAAGTTTTCCGTTCATACAGCATAGGTGAAGCACAGTTTTCCCATTATTTCTTTTGGTTTTGATATCTAAGCCTTTCTCCAACAGAAAATTGAATAAATCAATGTTACCTCCCCACGCTGCATCATTTAAGACATTCTCTCCATTATTGTCGTTGAAATCTAGTAAAGGAGGATAAGTATTGACCAAGTACTTACACATATCTAGTTTTCCATTCATACAGCAAAGATGAAGCACAGTTTTCCCATCATTTCTTTTGGAATCGATACTGAGGCCTTTTTCCAACAGAAATTTAAAGAAATCAATATTACCTTCATATGCGGCAGCATGTAAGGCATTTTCTGCATTATTGTCTTTGACGTCTAGTAAATGAGGATAAGTATTGACTAAATATTTACACATATCTATTTTTCTATTTACACAGCAACGGTGAAGCACAGTCTTTCCATCATTTCTTTTTGATTCGATATTGAAGCCTTTTTCCATCAGAAATTTGAGTAAATCAATGTTACCCCCACAGGCTGCAGCATGTAAGGCAGTTTCTCCATTATTGTCTTTGACATCCAATAAATGAGGTAAAGTATTGACCAAGAACTTACACATATCTAGTTGTCCCTTTTTACTTAATAGGTGAAGCACAGTTTTCCCATCATTTCTTTTGGATTTGATTTCGAAGACTTTCTCCAACATAAATTTTATAAAATCAATGTTACCTACCCTCGCTGCATCATTTAAGGCATACATTCCATTTTTGTCTCTGACATCCAGTAAATGAGGATAATTATTAAGCAAGTATGTACATATATCTAGTTTTTCGTTCATACAACATAGGTGAAGTACAGTTTTCCCATCATTTCTTGTGGAATTGATATCGAAGCCTTTCTCCAGCAAAAAAATTAACAAATCAATGTTACCTCCCCAGGCAGCATCATGTAAGGCAGTTCCTCCATTATTGTCTCTGACATCTAGTAAATGAGGATAAGTATTGACCAAGAACTTACACATATCTTTTTTTCTATTCATACAGCAACGGTGAAGCACAGTTTTTCCATCATTTCTATAAGATTCAATATTGAAGCCTTTCTCCATCAGAAATTTGAGTAAATCAATATTACCTCCCCACGCTGCATCATGTAAGGCATTCTCTCCATTTTTGTCTTTGACATACAGTAATTGAGGATAGGTATTGACCAAGTACTTACACATCTCTAGTTTTCCGTTTCTACAGCACTGGTGAAGCACAGTTTTCCCATCATTTGTTTTGGTTTTGATACTGAAGCCTTTCTTCATCAGAAATTTGAGTAAACCAGTGTTACCTCCCCAGGCTGCATCATGTAAGGCAGTTCCTGCAGTATTGTCCTTGAAATCTAGCAAATTTGGATACTTTTTACATATATACCTGACCATGTTTAATTTTCCATTTTTACAAGCAGAACTAAGAACAGTGGAACCATTTAATTTTGTTCTATACGGATCACATCCACTCCGAACTAATAGTTTAAAGATTGTTTTGTCTCCTGCATACGCAATGAAATGTAGAGCATTTCCACCTTGATTGTCTCGAACATCAATTAGTCGTGGGTAGCGTGCTAGAACTGGCTCAACGAGGTGATTTTGCTCAAAAAAGCAAATCTCTTGTAGTAAACTGCATTCCATATAATTCCAGTGAAAATGATTCGATAAAGTTATTTCTGTAAGGTCAACATTATCAGTGAAGCGATAGAGTAAATCTAAATCCCCACTTTGCACAGCGTAAAAACAAGTTTTTAAATTATACCTAACATTAGTTGATAGTAGCAAGTCAACCATTTCCCCCTGGTTGTGTGCACATGCTTCATTTAGGGACAGATATCTTTGTACTTCTGAAGATGAGGACAAGAGATACTTAACCCATCTAATGTTACCAGATATACAGAAATGAACTAACATTGTTTGTCCTCGACTATCAGTATTTTCTTTTAGCCCTTTCAATACACTTTGATTATTTTTGCATCTACATACGAACCTCTCGTCTTCCCATACCTGAAGACGGGAAATTGTTTGAAATGCTGCAACTGATCTTCCCTGCAGGATTTTTAGCAATCGTTTAATTAGGTCTTGGAAAATATCTTCGACGATTACTACAGAATTCCAATACAGTTTCTTACAGGTTGTGAGCCTTTCTAGAAGAGTAAAATCACATCTCTTGATAATTTCTTGTGGGTAATAATTGACGAGACACTTGAATAAACTATCTTGTACTGAGCTATGACTTAATTTATATTTTCTTTCAATGTTGTCGTACGCCATCAAAAAATAGTTGTAATGAAATAGTGAACTTTGAAAATGCACCAGAGATGACTCTGTGACTCCTAACATTTTCAGGGCTTCTATTTTCCGCCTTCTGTCTCGTAATGGTGTTTCCAGCACGCTTTTTTCCACACTCCCTCCACAAAGAAGAATATAGATTAAAACTGCCATTTTCCTTTCTTTTCTATCTAGCCTTTGTTTTATATAATTTTCCAAGCTCAGAATTGGATCCTTTAAGAAAACTTGGGGCTCGTCGGAAAATGTTGGATTATTTTTCAAAAGGCTGCAACATTGAGGTATTCCAAGTGAATTACCAAGTTTAATAACATCCAGCATTGTATTTGTCTTTATCAATTTATCAAGACCATACTTCGTAAACATTTCTACTATTTCTGAACTTTGCAATTGAAAATTCCCATTAGATAAGTCAACTGAAGAATTGCTTAGAAATAAGTCTTCATGTATTCTTTCGGTTGCTTCTTTGCAAATATCATTTCTGATTGTTATAATTAAAACATTTCCCTTACAATTATCATTATTCCACATTGCTTTAATCAAATGTAACTTTGCTTTAAAGTTGTCAACCTCATTTGAAACTGAAAACTCCCCGAATAAATTATCTAAAAATAAAGCGACGTTTGAAGATGGTGACACGGATCCATACAATTCCTCAACTGTGAACACCTGAAGAGGTATCATTCCTTTCTTCTGTAATTCTGCTAAGACATACATGGCAATCGTAGTTTTTCCAGATCCCGGGTTACCTTTTACAAGTACAAACCTATTTGTGTCTAGAAGTTCAAATACTCTCTGAAGTGCGTGTGTATGAACAAATACATCCCTGATCTTAAGTTCTTGATTTTGTAAAGCAGCTCTTGTTGTATCTAAAAATAAATTCCAGAAATATCTTCAAATTGGCTTTAATATCCACATCAATTAAATATATCCTCCTTTTTTGTCCCCTGCTTTCGTGAAAGCAAGGAGATATTAAATCCCATTCGTCTGTACGTTGCTCTAGCTGTCAGTCCGCCACAAAGACTTTAACCTGGCCCATAACTTTTGATTTATTAGTACTATGACTTTCATATTGCACATATGTATGCCCACTTTAAAACAAAAATTCCAAATTTTACTTTGGCCATATCTTTTGAAGGATTGATAATTGGAGTTTCATATTGCACTTATGTATTCTCTATTGCAACTTTGATCTTGACCTTGGAGATTTCTATACTTAGGCAATAAATATAACTTTTACCAAAACTCCTGAACGCTAAGGACTAGGGATTTTATACTTCATATATGTTATTTATTTAAGAAGACCTTTCATTGGATACCAAGAACTTTTCTTCTGCCTTAATCTTGGAGTTTGAACTACTTTTAATAACAAGCCTTGAACATAATTTTTGAAGGATGAGAGCTATCATACTTCAAATATTTCATCATGGTGACAAATCCGTTCATTGAATATCAAGAACTTTGAACCCGTAAGCTTGAACTTTGACCTATTTTTGAACACTTTTCGTACTAAGGAAAAAAATAACCTTGGACATAACTTTTTAACTATTTGGAACATTGGTTTCATACTCTACATATGTAATAATTGTGTCAAGACATTTTCGTAGAAATCATTAGAATTGACCCTTTTACATGAGAGTTTTACCTACTTTTTAAAAACTTATCCATGGCCATAACTTTGAACAGGAGTTGCTTGGGCTTTCATATTTCACTGTCGTATTTCTTGTTAAAAGTTCCAATTTTGGGTACCAATATATTTAATTTGCATTTAATAAAAGGATTAATTTTCGCTATGTTGCCATTCGGGGTCATAAGTGTTTCCCACGCATGTACACATCTTGTTCCTTTTTACTTTTGATTGAGAAGCGATATAGAACGTTCATATTTGTGCATTACCTTTGCCAAGATATTTCCGAGAATGATTTCTCACCCCTTGTAAATGCCTATCACAATTGACAATTATTTTTTTTGATTAAATTAACTTTGGTGATAATTTTAAAAGACATATAACAGGGTATTCATATTTGACACAATATGTCATAAAAACGACATCTCACCCATAAAGCCACGGAAAGCGGGGGACCACAAATCTTTGAATTTGCTTTTTTTTTTTCAAATTTTTATTCTTCTAAGTTTCTTTATCTACCAAGAAAATATGTGGTATAAAGTCTTACCAATCTTTGCTCTGATATTAATATCTGAAAAAGGAAACAAGATATGACTAAAATGATGTTTCTTTTGCTACATTTGAATTTTTACTAGAAGAAGCAATTTGAATTAATGGAGATGTTACAACAAAACCATATGAAAAGTCTTTCTTTCAGATGAAACGCTCAATTTTGTGCTATTAGAGATTAATTTCATGTAAAACGTTTAAACAGTTTGACCAAAACTTTTGATTGATCGATTTATTATATGTTGTTTAATGTCCCTCTTGTGAATTTTTCACTCATAAGGAGACGCCAATACTTGGCGGTGGAGAACTATAAATTTTGCACTATACCCGGCACTTAAAGAAGGTGCAGTGGCTATAGCGTCTGCTCTAGAGTCGCTAAGCAAGGTGTCAACCCTTAGGTCGCCGGTTCGAATCCCACTGTGGGACGTGGAGACCGGCCCTTTGGATGAGACCGTATAAGACCGAATAAGATCCCTCACTGCTCAAGAATCCCACTGTCTTATCAGTAAAATAATTATTCCACACATTCGCACAAAACCTTACCCTATGTTTTGAATTTTATACATATCAACAGAGATTTTTCGCAAAATCATGCTTAACTCGGGATTCTAGCAGCACTTTACAAGTTTGTCAGACGGCAAACTTTCCATCTGTACAAATCTTATGCTTTAAAATATCCAGCTTATTGTTGTTCTGCTGCATAATTTTTGTCACAAATAACAGAAGAAAGTCCGACCGGGATACATATATAGCCGACTGTCTTCGAAAGAGAATACAATCGATGAAAATAAATTAGCATACCTGTTTAATTAACTGAAATCCATATAAATTTTACATAATATTCATGATATTTGCTTTTAAACTCCATTTCACGTATCACTGTACAAGCCGTCCTAGCCAAATTCTCTTTACACGACATGATCAATTCACAAGTTACCTTGATGTACACATATGACGTCATCGATGGTAGATTTTGATAAAAATGACAGATACAGTGTAGCAAAATAAAAAAAATCATTTTTGTTTATGTTTACACGTTTCTATTCATTTTATAGAGTTTTATTGACGATATAGAGATGAAGTGGGTGGAATGTCGCGAGAGCCTCGCGGCATTCATTACGTTTGCCAACACCTTTCATCAGTCGATCAAATTTACAGTAGACGTATCTAATTCGAAAAACGTATTCCTAGATACTACATCTACCCTGATTGATGGTGAAATCGAATTCAGTCTCCACATCAAACCCACTGACTTCCACCTATATCTTATGCCCTCTAGCTGTCATCCCCCACACACTTTTAAGGGAGTGCCTAAGGGTCTAGCCACCAGAATTCGACGCATCTGTTCGTCCCCTGCCTTATATCAGGAGCAAAGTGGTCTTCTCAAGTCCCACTTATGCAAAAGAGGCTACAATGCCCGCACCGTACAAACAGCTATTGATGAGATGGCGGGACATGACAGGCAAAACCTATTACGCTACAAGGAGAAAGACAATAGCGGCAGGGTCCTTCTGGTAACCACATACCATCCTGTCCTTAAGAACCTTAGCGGTTTCCTTCAAAAGAACCTACCAATTCTCCATTCAAACAAACGAATGGCAGAGGTCTTTAAGGAACCCCAATTGGCTGCATACAGACGCCCAAGGAACCTAAAGGATATGGTAGTAAGAACCAGACTGGACAACCCATTACCTAACGGGGGCTTTAAAACTTGCTCTGACAGAAGATGTCTTCTTTTTTTAGCACAGCACTGACACAGACAGTTTTAACAGCCCTGTTACAGGCCGCAGGCCGCAGCTACAAAATACTAAGGATTTTGTCCTGTCATACTGACAACTGCATTTATCTCATCAGTTGCAAAGTTTGCTCCAAACAGTATACTGGTGAAACAGGAGATCTCCGCAGGAGAGTCAATAACCACCGTTCGACCATTAGGACCAAAAAACTCAATGAACCCGTTGGAGAACATTTCAACCTTGAGGCTCACAAATGGGAGGACATGACAGTAGTGGTGATTGACCATAACCCAAGATGGACAGATGCTCAGAGAAAAAGCAAAGAAAAGTTCTGGATGCACAGACTGAAGTCATTCCGCCCTAATGGTATTAACAAACTGAATGACTTCACCAGAATGAACGTAAACTAAACCCAATTCCTGATGATACTAAACAAGATTATTTAGTGTAAACTCTACAGTAAATTTGCGTCACCAACTCTCGAACAACCCACATAACTATTTATTGCTTACGCCTTTGTTAATTATTTTTCCCGGTAATAAATCCTTAAATATTTCAAAATTTACAATGGATCATAATTCATATGTTTAAATATCCCTGCTATATTATTTTTCTTTGATTATTCTTTATTAAGTAAAGTTACGCCATTTTGAGAGAATGAAACAATGTACGATTTACTTATTGTCGTAATTAATTAGCATAATTAATTCATTCAATTATGTAAATCACACTTCACCCGAGTATACCCGATAGACCGGACGCATTTCATAGCGGTCCGGATTTCTTTCTTTATTAGTGTTCTTAAAAATTTCCAATTCAACATGTAATTAAGTATGTAAATATATAGTGTTTAGTAGTTAAGTAGTAGTGCTAGTTGTTTTTGTTTCTCTTTTTCCTTTGTTCTTATGACTTTCTTACTTTTTTCTTTGTCCTGAGGAAGGGACAGGGCGTCCCGAAAATTTGACAATTTTTATTGTTCGTGTCGATGGTCATTTTTAGTGCTTTATATATATATATATATATATATATATATATAAAGCACAATTTACACCAACTCTTAAACTAATATAACTGCCCTAAGTGAAGAAATATTAATATAGAAAGCACAGAGAAATTCACTTTTATAAGGATACTCACTTCCACACCAGCCCGGGGTTGAACTCTCGACCTACGGAATCTGTCTCCTAGCAGTGCAGGAACAGCGCGTTAGACCGCTCGGCTATCTAGGCAAGTTAAAAAACTTG